GTAACTGGAATCGAAAACGATACCTTATAATTACATGCGAGTTGGTACTCAATTCCACTAATCAAGCATTTCAGTTCTCGGGACTAGCGGTATTCGGTGCTTTGGGTTCGAGTAAGTACCAAAACTGAACCAAAATTTAAAAGAATACCCTTAAAGATCAAATGAACTAATTTTGACCCTTATAACACTTTCGTACAAATAATCTTATTCTTCTTCATGCACCTTCTTCTCTGTATATTAGGTTTAAGCATCAACTATGCTAGATAAGTATAGTCTAAGTCACATAGCCCTAAAAATGGAGACTTAAAAACTTTAATTTTCTAGACTTAGTTTTTTTTTCTTATTAGAATTTTTGCATAATTTCATTCAACTTTGAACACTTAAGAATCTCTCATATGAACTCAGATTAACCTAATTCTTCCTTTCACCTTCTTCTCTATCTTGGTTACGTGTTAGGCTCAAGAATCAACTGATTTGGATAACTATAGTCTAAGTTACATAATACTAAACATGAGTACTTGAAAAAATAAAATTTCTCAGACTATTTTCTTCTTAACAGAAGTTGTGTAAAAAATTTCTTCAAATTTGTACACTCATAACTCTCTTATATGAACTCCGACGGGGCTCATTATTTTCCTATATGTTCTTTGTTTTCTTAATTTCAGCTGTGGGTTAAGAACCTCTTGTTTTGTTGTACTTAAGCCCGAACTCTATAGCGTTAAACATGAACCGTTGCACATAGAAAAATTGATACTAAAATGGGATTGACACTCGATACCTACAAAATTAGGTTCTCGATTTCAGTACTTTCGGTTCATGTACAAGTTCAGTGCGATTTAGGACCCGGACTCGCTCGTGGTTATTTCTCAATATTTTTCATAATATTATGGTATTTTATGATTATCCACAAATTGTTTGACTAGCTATGTAAACCTAAACCAAAACATTATAAGACAAATAAATTCAACTAAAATTAATTGAGTGGGCTGATGAACGACTCATGGCCCTAATGGCATAATCTAATAGGATGATTTCTTTTTCTTTGTCAAACTTATTTAGTAATTAATTATATTTTATTCTTATTAAAAGTAAATAATACAGTATACAATAAATACCTGATTTTTTCTACTTATATATATATATATATATATATATATATATATAGATATATATATATAATATATATAGATATATATATATATAATTTTAAAAACTTAAAATTGAAAGATAAACATAATAAAATTTTAGTTTTTTAGAAAAAAAAATGTTTTATTTTTTATAACCTTGAAAAATAATAAAATCAGATTAAAAATTATAAGTTTTTATGATAAAAAGTTAGGTTCAGTTGGTTGTTAATAAAATTACAAAAAAAGAAAATTTGGATTATGTGTATGGATGAAAAAGAAATTAATATGCTAAATAAAGGTTTGATAGAATTATGTTTGCTCATTAACAAAATCTTGATTTTTTAAATCTGTTACTTTGGCTAATGCATAATTCTGTAGTGGCATTTTTAATTATTTTAAAATTTGAGTCAGTCGCTTTAGTTAAATTTTATATAGTTTTTTTAAGAACAACAATCACACAAATAATCCTTACAGTACTCTTATACTATTTATTTTATTTCCAACGAGACTTGAACCCTTAACATTTGGCTGATACACCTTTCCAACAATATATGATACCGCTAAAATATATCTAATCTGAATGATATTTTATTCGGTTACAAAAAATTCCATATAGGATAAATCCTATTCTCTATGACTTAGGTTTTTATTTTGACCTAAATTTTTATCTTAATAAAAATCTAAAAAACGGGTACCGTCATACTAGTCGTTTGAACCCAGACAATGATCATTTTCCTCTTAGAATTAGTATAAAAATGTGTTAGGTTCATTTGGTTTCAATACACCATAAAAATACTCCTTATTCTCAAAGTTTTTTGCAATCTCATACTTTCCACTTCTTACTTTAAATTCCAAATTGATAATGACATGTTCACAAACTTTCACTTTTGTTGGTAGTACCAAAGTAACCTCAAAAAGCTATATGAATGTTGATGAGGTGGAAGTCGTACATGTTGTTAAACCCGACAAATTGATCTCATTTTGATTTGTGCACTATGAATGACATAAAGTGAAAGTCTCAATATGTGTATTTATGGTAGGAGCAATGCTTGACAAAGAAACTAGGTAGACACTTACTGTCATACTCTTAAATCTATATATTTTATCTTCAATGAGATTTGAACCCTCAATCTTATATCATAAAAACTTTTTTATCAACTCCTAACACGATTACATCATAAGTCTTTTGGTTTCTATTTGTTTTATGTTTGAAATTATTTTATGAAAATAAGTGTGTTTAAAAGCTTTTGATAATAATCTAGCAAAGAAGGCCAAGTTGTTGCACTTCCCGATAAGGTTTTAGGTTTGAGATGTGCTCAAGATTTTATTCATTATGCTAATTGTTTTAAAAGAAACAACTTATTTATCTAGTGTTTATCATACTAGTCCCTTGGTTTTCAGTTAATTTTATTTAGTGTAGAAACCGAAAAAAAATACCTAATTTTACCAAAAAAAAAAAAAAGTTGCTATTTTCAACAATATCTTTTTGAAACTTATTTCACATGTATTCCAACAAATATGATCAAAGTTTAACCCAACAATTGATCATATAATGAGTGGGATAATAGAGGAATATCTTGTGGTCGTGATCAGGATGCGAATATTGACTACATAATACTACTTTACAAAATTATGCTAGAAAACAACAAACTTCCTCACCATATAGTGAATTTCGGAAATTATATGACATTAGTTATTATTAGGTCTGACAATCGTGTCGTGTTCTGGTTGGCGGGTCGCGGGTTGACGGATCAAAATACACCAACTCGAACACGGCCCATTTAACTATACAGGTCACAGGTTGGCGGGTCACGGGTTGCCAGGTTTGGAACATAAACTCATATATGACCCGTCAACCCACTTATTTATAAGGGTTCCCAAGTTGGCGGGTTCGTGGGTCAGATTTGGGTTCGTGAGTCAGATTTCCATAAATAAAATTGATAATTAAACATGAATAAATTCTTGATGCAAACATATCCCAATTTTAGACACTTATGCCTTAAACATCCAAATGAAAATTAAAAACATTCATAGAAACATGTTTAAACTAAAACATTAATACAAACATATTGCACATGTCAAATAGTCAATGGCATCATGTCCTGGTGTATAAACTGTATAATACTTAAGTCTTAATACATTTAAAAAATATATAATTTTTTTTTATTAAAATTCTAAACGGGTTGGCGGGTCAACCCGTATATTTTTTGAGAAACCTATATATAAACTGTTTAATAAACGGGTTGGCGGGCTAGCGGGTTGAAAAACTCAACACAAAACCTGTTTATTTTGTGTCGTGTCAAGAATTGTCAGGCCTAGTTATTATCAAATGCATGTGTCAAAAAATTAAAACCCTAATATTCTGGTTTTGGGAAAATGACTCTTTAGGGTAACTAACTGTTGCATTTGTTTTCATTTGGTCCCTTTCCTTTTTTTTGTACTCAATATACCATCGAACTTGTTGTTTGTGTGCACCATAACCCTTTGACCGGCTATCACAGGTCAAAAGTCAGTCAAAGGGTTATGGTGAACACAAACAACAAGTTCGATGGTATATTGAGTACAAAAAAAATGAAGGGACCAAATGAAAACAAACGCAACAGTTAGTTACCCTAAAGAGTCATTTTCCCTTTGGTTTTCGAAATATGCTTTTTCACTTAGTAGCAAACAAAATTAAGAAAAGAAAATGTCAAAACTCAAACATTGATTCGTTTGTTTCAAATGAGTAATTAGATGACATACAAAAACAAAAGCAGCTTCTCTAATTTGCAATGGAAGCCCAAGACTACAAAGTTAAATACATAACTCCCCCCATTTTCTAGTAAAAAACATGTACAACGAAACAAGTTTTTCCATATTTAAAATTTTTTAAATAAAAAAACTTATAAATTATGAGTGTAACAGAAAAGAAATAAGTAATTACTGGTTTTGTTCTGTTCTTGGTTTCTTGAGCACTTGATCATAAACAACATCATCTCTCCTCCTAATCCCACAATGTGCCATTCCTTGATTACCCTCAGATAGAAAATCATGCTCCTGAACACACACACACACACACATAATTCATGAATATTGTCATAAGGGTAAAATGGTCATTTAGTCTTTCTCATTAAGACGGTTTATCTTATCCGCTATAGGAAATACAAAGAAACAGAGACCACTCACTCTATCACTCTATCCATTTTCCGTTCATTCACTTCAGCCATACAAACCTTAACGAAACTAAATGACCATTTTACCCTTACACTTCCAAATATTTTCCTGGTAAAATGACCATTTTACCCTTGCACAACCTGCTTTCCCGATTTTATCAAGGGCAAATTACATAAAAGCCACTATATTTTGGACATTTTTGTATTTTAAACACTATAGACCAAAATGACCATTTTACCCTTACATTTCAAAATATTTTCCTGGTTACCCAGTTATATAAATGGTTAAAATATAGAAAAAAACAACCTACTTTCACCATTTCATCAAAGGCAAATTACATAAAAGCCACGATATTTTGGCCATTTTTAACTCGCTATAAACTAAATGACCATTTTACCCTTCCATTTCAAAATATTTTCCTGGATACCCGGTTTTATAAATGGTTAAAATATAGAAAAAAAGAACCTACTTTCACCATTTTATCAAAGGAAAATTACATAAAAGCCACTATATTTTGGCCATTTTTTACACACTATAGACTAAATGACCATTTTACCCTTACATTTCAAAATATTTTCCTGGTTACCCAGTTTTATAAATGGTTGAAATATAAAAATGCATAACCTACTTTCACTATTTTATCAAAGGAAAATTACATAAAAGCCACTATATTTTGGTCATTTTGTCAATGAAAGTCAAAATAGAGTGGCTTTTAATCTTTTTATGTATCTTGCGCATTTTATAAAAAACAAAAAAATATGGTTTTTTTATTGACCTTGATTCCAAAAGATGTTGAAATTGATCCACTACTTGTGACTTTTCTGATATCAAATTGCACAGAAATATTCGCTTGTGAAAGATCAACTCCAGAAGAACCCAATGCTTGAGTTAGATTATTTAACAGCCTGTAATTAGTAATTACATAAAAATATTAATTAACAAAAACATTAAATTAAATAATTCAAGAAAATGAAAAAAATACTCACCCTTTGGAATAAGCATCTGAGATTCTATCTCTATCTCCTTCTCTTTGCATCTTCAATTCTTGAAGCTCATTTGGAGTAGCATCCTCATTCATTAGAGATCTATCATCCCAATATTCATGAGGAATCCGGGCAGCCTGGGCAGGGTCAGGGTCAGGGTCGGGCAGGTATGTGTTTTGCTGTAATGGTATGTCAAGGGCAGCTGCTCGGGCAGCTGAAGAGTGACTCAGTTCGTGTTCTATCAAGCTCTGTGTGTTTGACAGCATTGGTGGGGAAAAGACGATATTACCCTCGTGTAAAGATCCGTTTTTTATGGGTTGTGATTGATCTGTGAAGGTATCTGTGACACTATTTCCTCTCTGTTCAAAAAAGATTTATCAATTATAGATTAATATAGATTAATATGGATATTAATATTATGATGAAAAATTATATTTATACCCATGGCATTAACTTTGTGGGCTCTGGACTCCAACCATGGAATGTTCCTTCATATACTTGTAACTTTTCTTGTAAAAAATGGATATATTGAATCACCTAAGTTCATAAGAAAGATTAGTAAAGTTATGTTGAAGTATAGAAAAGGTTGTATTTGTATATAATAACAAGGATACATAGTTACATACCTCTAACAAGAAAGAAGCTCTGTCTCTTTTCTGATCATTTTGAGGAATGAGGTCTCTTAAAATCTGGAATCTGTGTAGTTTCAAGGTTATTAGGTTGATAATTGATTAGAAAGTAGAAACAGTGTGCATGAGAACTTCTTGTAGAATAATTTGCATCACAATGAAAAGGATGCATCAAGTTGCATGTAGAAGTAGAACCTTTTTATTCCCCATTGTAAAAGCAAGAAATTGGAATACTTTGTTTATATAAAAAGTCCGAAATGAAAACATGTTTCCATTGTGGAATAAACATCTCCTTCAACCCTAATCATCCTGATAGATTATACTACATGAATCCTTTTCCACAATTCATATATGGAAAGAGAGGCAGAGAGACTTTTTTTCTTCAATTTCCCTCCCTTTCTTTCCAAAAATACAGAGTGTAAGCAAGCTATGAGCAGAAATTCTTTAATCCTATGTTGAGAAAGCATGTGTATGTAACAGAAAAGGGTAATGATCGAAGATAAGATGAAAAAAATCAAGCATGCATGCCTCTCGTTAATTTTGCTCCTTCGCCGCTGCTCCGTCTCAGAATGCTTAGAACGATGAGAGCTCGCCTTCTGATCATTCCTCCTTCCATCTGCATTCAATTAGAAAGTTCAATTTCAATTCTGCATGCACAAATCTAGGTATATAAAATACGTATGTGTTTACGAAATAAAAAACCTTTCTGTGAGGAACCATCAGTTGTTCTCGAAATGAAATCTTCTTCATCCTCTTCTTCTTCTTGATGGTGATGATTCTTCACAGTCCTTACCATCAGCTCCAATTCCTTCTGAAGAAACACAAAATTCTATCATCATATAAATGGCGCAATTGAGGCAAACAAACAAACTCACACGATACGCATAAGCAAGGGCGTAGATACGGAGACACAACCTACTGTTTAAGCGTAGAGAGAGAGACGGAGCTGCAGCCGGTGTTGCGGCGACGTCGGCGGCGATAAAAGTCGGTACGGCGGAGGAGTTTGGTAGTTTAATTTCCGAGAGGGCCGGAGAAATGGGATACGGTGGACAACTGTACGGGTCACTGAAAAGCCCTAGCTCGATGCTTTTTTAATTAAAACATTTTTTTGTTTGTGGTAATGGTGTGTGATAAAATACGCCGCGGTGCACACGTTAACGTGGACCAGGTGCTAAAGTGTACACTTTTGGGCTTGCACGGACGAGGCCCATATTGGAGTTTGTTTGGACTTTGGAATTTGAACTCTCTATTTTTATTTTTAATAATTACATTTTCTAAAATACACTTTATTATTTATTTGATGAAAATACAGCACTATTTATTGGGCGATGCTAATAAAACACTCATATACACCCTATTGAACACTTTATAAAAAGTCAACCTATAATTAACTACTTATAATCAGCTTTTTCGGAAAACAATGCAATTTCATCCAATAAAAATATTTCAAAATTTAATTAGAGTGTCGATATGGTAAAATGGGGTGTCTTTTTAGTCAATCCTATTTATTTTGAAGTATATAAAATATTTGTAAAATATTTATTCCTTTGTTGTAAATATTAATAATGTTGGTACGCAATTTTATAAAGTAATTTTTGTATATCAGAGGTCAAGCTTTTGGTTTCGAGTTTTATAAAAATTACTTTGATATCCCTTGAAAAAACGTCACTTTTGGTTTCGTGTTTGATTTGAATCTCTTATTTATAAGGTTGTGGGGAGTGGTCACACCCAACCCACCGAAAAAGTACTGCCACCTCTGCGCCACGTCAGCTTCACCACCAACCCACCATCAACCCACTAAACATTGGAAATGGTTACCATTCCATAAATTCTTTTTTTTATTTATTTTTTTATTTTTTTAACATTATAAATAAAAACATAATTTATAACATAAATTAATTTTTTGAAAACAAAAAAAAAATAAAACCACATTTCATTAATTAAAAACATAAAATATTTAAAACTTAAATTAATAAAATTAAACATTACATTGTCTAAATAAAATAAAAATATAAAAACATAAAAAAACATCGAAAAATTCTAATTGTCGTCGTTGTCGTCACCGGCATCATCCGCCTCGTCGTTACCGTCCTCATCCTCCTCGTCGTCACCATCGTCATCCTCCTCGTCTTCACCGTCATTTTGCCCTTGAAATTGTCTTTCCCATATGTATTCGGTCAAATCATGTCATAGATTGTGATGTGTTTCACGGTTTTGTATTTCCAAAACCCTTGAGAAGTATGCCGGACTGCCAACTTGTATTACTGCAGGTGGATTAAGTATATCGTTTGTGGTATATGAACAAATAGCCCTACCCTCTTGTTCTATTATCATGTTATGTAAAATAACACAAACAGTCAACACCGTCGTCAATTTTTCCCTGTCCCATGTTCGTGTCGGATGTTTGATTACGTGCCACTTTTGTTTGAGGACTCCAAACGGCCGTTCTACATCCTTCCTTGCAGATTCTTGTGCTAACTTGAACATTTTTCTTTTATCGTCGGCCGGAAATGTGTATGACTTGACAAATGTAGCGTATTCAGGATATATCTCATCACCTACGTAATAGCCATATTTATATTCATTTCCATTGACAACATATGACATTTCTGGTGCTTTACCCTGTAAAATATTGTTAAATATCGGAGACGCTTGGAGCACATTCAGGTCATTGTTTGACCCCACCATACCAAATAATGCATGCCAAAACCATAGGTCATTTGAAACAACCGCATCCAAAATAACAGTCGCACCCCATGATCACCTCGCGTGAACTGACCACGCCACACGTTGGGACAATTTGCCCACTCCCAATGTGTACAATCAATGCTACCAAGCATCCCTGGGAACCCATGTTTAGCTTGATGCGCGACATACAACTGTTCGACATTGCTTTTAGTCGGATGTCACAAGTATATGTCACGGTAAAGCTCTACAACATACTCACAAAATAGATATGTACACTCTCGACCCGTCTTTTCAGACATTTTCAGATACTCATCTGATGCGTCTGCAGCAATGCCGTATGCCAATTGTCTAAGAGCGGCCGTGCATTTTTATATCGTAGTAAAACCGCATTTATCTCTAGCATCCCATCGTAATTGGAAAAATTCATAATTACGTGACAAATCTCTAGCTATACGTAAAAATAAATTTCTACTAATACGAAAACCTTCTTCGAATTTCGATAGATCATATAAACAATCAACGACAAAATAACCATGTACCAAACGTTCATGTGCCGCCTCTCGATCCCGGTTGATCCATTTTTTATGCTTCTTCTCGACGTTTGAACTTTCGCCCCTCTCACGTATCATGTCTCGTGCCGCAGACAACAACATATACAAAATGAAATCCTCATCAGAATCGTTATCATCGGATGACGAAGAAATCGGAGGTAGAAAATTATCCATTTTTTTGGTTGAATGTGTGTTTTTGTTTTGAAGTAATATGGGTGTGTTTGTGGAAATTATGTTTAAAATGAATGTATATATAGAGAGAATTTGAAAAAATAATAAATAGACAGCCTAAAGATCATCCTTCACGCGTCTTGGGTTGCGCCACATCAGCCTTCACGCGTCTTCTTCTTCCCCGTACCAGACAGCCTAAAGATCATCCTTTTCTACTCCTCATTCTCTTAAATATCAGAGATCAAGATTTAATTATTTTTTCATTAGGGAATTTTGTATATCTAAACTTCATCGATTAATACGTCGCCACTTCCCTAAATTGTATGCTTCATCTATTCATGTGTTTCCTTTTGTGCTTATGAGTTCATTTCGGGTAATATTGGAGATTGAAAGTTGTTAACGTCTAGGAGTCGTTGTGGTATGGTAGGATTTGATAGATGTAAAGAATGTAAATGCCCCTTTCAAGCAGCTAATCGATTGCATTAGAAAAGGGAAAACCTGTAAGATCTTACTTTCTACTCTACTTTACTGTCACTGAAATCAAGTTGTGTTTAAGATTTTCAATCACAGTGATTGTAGTTGGTGATTGTATGTTAGTTAGATTACAGGTGATTCTTCTTTCTTCATTTCTTCTCTTCCAATCATACCATATATATTCATTCCATTGAAGCTGTTCAAGTTGCTCATTAGCTTACATTCTTCTTCTTTTTTCACATCCACTTTTGGTGTACATGTGTAAGGTGGATGGACAACACCACCCAAACCCAAATACAAGTCTCAACGTATTTCTCAAAATCTTCCTTGCATCTTTCAAAATACATTTCGATGTTGTTTTCTTTCATATTTATTTTTGTGCTTTGATTTTCTGCAGTTATGATTTTTATCAGGAGCTAGAGGAGTTTGTGGTGGTAATCTTTTGAGGTAATTATGATTGTTTTTCCATACAGTATTTAAATGTTCATTTTTCTTAGGCTTGGGGGAGTGGTGCGGTAGAGGGAGTGCTCCCTTGCCACCTAGGCAGCGAACATCGCCCCCTCACCGCGGTTTTGGTGCAGTTTAGACTGCACTACGGCTAAATAATGTCGCACCTTTTTCTCTCTCTCTTTTGCCTCTTAAACTGTCTCTCTCATTCTTTTTCTGTTTTTTTTCTTTTTTTTTTCCTTCATATCTATTTTTCTTTAGAAATCAATTTTTTTATATTAAAACCAATTCTTTTAATATCTATTTTTGTCACACCCCAAAACCGGAACGGCGGAAACGTTCGGGGGCGGAGGACGTCATGTACAGTATCACAACAATGCATAATAGTAAACAAGCAACAACATCATCCATTGCATTAATAGTAATATTTTAATACAAGTGTGTTCTGAAGTTTATAAGACACCAAAAATAAATAATCAAAATAAGAGATGAGTCTTGATCGTACTCCATCTTCTCAAAACCTGGTCATCGGTACCTGTCTACTGGTGACCTGAGAATACAAGTTATTTTGAAAGCGTAGATCAGCATTAAAGCTGGTGAGTTCATAAGTATTTTAGCGTCATTGTTTGTATAAGTTTGAAAAATGTACTTGTAAATGTTTGATGTAAAAGTTTGTAAGTATTTGATGTAAATGTTTGTAAACTTCCTAGAAAATCCTATATTTTCTACTAAAGTAGTCTTCTACCAAAGACTCAACTGTTATCTATGTTTGTTCTTTTGTAAAAGCGTGAGTTTTCCCAAAGTATGACTATCATTACCAAAATATAGTTTAACATTACCGTTTATGTGAGAAGATCACAATGTGAATGAATTGGGAAAAATAAAGATGTAGTGTAGTTTTATCTAGGTAACTACTAATGTACTAACTACCTTTAAACTTGTTAGTTAATTAAGGTAAAATGTGATATGATTGTAACCATACTCGATTGACCAGTAAAACACGACGTTCGAGACGGCGAAATGATATGACATTCGTCACCCGCAGACCTACAGATCCCACTGTAGCTAGCAGCAAGGTGTAGGAGGGTCAGTCCCGTATAGATCTATACACAAATTCACGCTCTCCCTCTAGGAGACTCTGGGTACAAAACGTGACACAACAATATATGTTGAGCCATGAAGTAGTAGCTCACAGTAATGTTATAGTATTCTTGTATTTGTATAGTATGTACTAGTGTAATGTATGTTCTCTCTGTCTAGTATGTAGTATGTTCTCTAGTGTATAGTGTGTAGTATGTATTGATTCTCGTTATAGTATGCTCTATCTGTTTCTCTTTATAGTGAGTATTGTTTCTCGTTATAGTATTCTCTATCTGTTTCTCTTTATAGTGAGTATTGTTTCTCGTTATAGTATGTATTGACTCATGTATGAACTGACTCTTTGTATGTTTCGTTGTTCTAGTAATAGTATTAGTGACTTCCTAAACTATACCTATTATAGTTTACTAGCAATGTTGTTTGTATGAATGAACATGAATGTACACCTTTGCTACCCAAAGGTATTGAATTGAAGGATTAACTTTTATATCTGTATACATATACATAATATATAATTAAGATTCAAACGACCTTCAGACAAACAACCGATACCCTAAGTCCACAACCAAACAAGGAACATGAAGTAAGGCGAATTATCAGTCCTAAGTCCTTTCAACCTTACTTATATAACTATATCTATATAGATATGCTTTTGACAAAATATAAGTTTGAAAGAGTTTAATAGAAAGAATTTAACATGTAAAAGAGTTTATAAAACGATTTGAAGCAATTTGATTGATAACACAGTTTGAAATATAAGAAATCCACTTGTTTGATAGTTATTAATCACATGTGATTGATATAATAACTATAATAGTTCTACTTGTATTCCCCCCCATAAAAGCATTTAAAATCATTTAAAAGATAAGTTAAGGGGTATGAACTCACCTGCAGTGAGTTATACGAATGAAAGATCGATTTGAAGGATGCTAAGTGCCAAGTGAAGCCTTAAGCATAACGGATCCTAATAAGCATATAATGACACATATATGTATATAATTAGTGTTTAAACAACTAATCTTGTAAGGAACACACCTTAGGAACTAGGAAACACTTATATGGAAGTGTTCTAATCACAAGGGATTGCATCTAAGGAGTGTATGGCCAAACATTGGAGTTTACGGCCATGTGTTCACGGCCTCACGAGTTTAAGACCATAGGGTTTACGGCCCTATGAGTTTACGACCGTAAACTCAAGAAGTTTTGTGCCAAAAAGTGTTGTCAAGGCCTTGCAAACATCAAGGAAGTGTTCTAGACTCAATGCTTAGCTTAAGGGAGTTTATGGCCAACAAATGCACCTTTAACAAGGGTTTACGGCCAAAGGAGATGCTATTGGCCGTAAACTCCTATTTTTCATGGGAAAAGGATGTTTTCCAGGTGCAAATCGAGGGTTCCTACTAGATAACATGTATAGGAAGAAGGTACTTACAATATGGAAGCAAATAGAGTTGATTTCGGCCCAAAACACTAGTGTGTGTTCTTGGTGTTCTTGGTGTTCTTAGTGATCTTGAAGATCAAACCCAAAAAGATGAAGTTAATGGATGAAATCAAATGTTGATACTAGATAATGAGATGTATCAACTAAACAAAGGATGAAACACTTACATTTTTGAAGAATAAAATGAAGATCCTTATGATACTTGAGAGAGAATTCGAGTTTTTGAGGTTGAAATGGTGAATAATGAGGAAGAAAGGGTGGAATATCATGTTTATAGGGTGAGTTTACGGCCACCTTGAGTTTACGGCCGTAAACTCATATGATGTGGCCGTAAACTCCACATAATGAAGTTTATGGCTTACTTGGTGCACAATGGGCTCAAGCAGTTACTTCTTAATACCCGATCCTTGGATGTACTATGATTAAAACTCTCAAATAGACCCTAAATAATGCTAAAAGATAGCAAAATGAGTCCAACCTTGATTGATTCGATCAACTATTCAAGATAGAAATTCTGGGTTGTCACAATTTTCAACATATATATGTATTTAATTTTTTTTCTCAATTTAACTTTTTTCTCCTCCCTCTGTATTTTGCAATGTAATGTTTTTTGAATTTCAATGTAATTTTTTTTTTTAATTTTCAAGTAATGAAAAATTATGTTTTTTTATTAAAAAAGAAGTTTTATTAAATTAAAATACTTAAAAAAAATAAATAAAAGAAAATAAAAGTGTGGCACCACTCCCTTGGTGTGGCAAGAAACCACACTTGTGTGGTAAAAAATGACGTGACGCACATGTGGCGGTGAAGGGAGTGCAGTTTCGGTGGCACCACTCCCTCCAGCCTTATGAAAGGTTGCAGGTGGTGATGAAAAGGTTATCTATTTGAAATAGGTTAGTCTATATCAGTAGAAAAAACAAGCAAATCATTTCAACCTTCATTATTTTTATTCTATTTACTGCATATTAGGTGTTTGCTAAAATGCCACAATGAATCTACCAACCTCTAAAACCTTTGATCTCGGGTATGTAAGTCATTTCTGATGAGGTTGGAGTCTTTAAAGAAGATAGTTTTTAACTTACTCATTAATTATTATTCACTAATGTATAAAATACGAGTAAAAAACAAAAAACTCTACATTGTATTTACATATATTATATTGTCACATTTTAGCAAATGAGTTGACTATTAGTTTAAGCTACAAAGGAACACCTTTAATCACAAGGGTAAAACGGCCATTTACTCTGAACAGAAAGGTGAAATGGTCATTCCCTCACATAAATAGTAAATTTTTATCCAACAGATGGCTTTCTCCTATCCGGTTCAACTTTTGACCATTTTGCCCTTGGTGTTATTTTGGTGAAACAAATGGGGATGACAAATTTATTGTGTTTTGAAGATGAAAAAACTCAAACCCCATGTTCTTCATGGTTCATCTGGAATTGGAGATGTGAAAAATTTTGAGGGATTGAAAATTGCAACACTGACAAAGTGACAACAAATACTATTACACTTTTAATTTTTTGATGTCAAAGTATGTTATTTCTAATAAAAAAGGTTTCTCTTTTGATTTTCTTACCACAATAAAAATGTTTTTATATATTTTTTTCGCTAGATATAAGATTTTAAAATTTCAGATTTGGTGTTCGATTTAATGGAGATCTGGTGCTCAATGTAACTAAATAAAATCTTTATGTTTTGTCCATTTCTTTGGCGTATCCATCCCCGCAAAGCGGGGATTCTTCCCTAGTTAAAAGTAATTAAAAGTAATTTCTTAAAGTCTATTTTATAAATAAGAGGAGGCTTTATGAGTTTCTTTTTCTAAAAAATAACCATTTTGTGATGATACCTCTATTTTTGATATTTTAATGAAAAATATAAATAATATTACTATGCTGTGTCGTAGTTAACTTCTTCAACAACAATATATTTATTTCATATAAAAAATTTAGCAACAATAATTAAATGACTAAAATAACTATTTTTCTTAACCATTTACACAAAAAATAAGGCAATTTTTTTTTTTACCTTTTCCTCAAAGTAGCCATACATTTCGCGGTAGGCCACAATACAAAATAGGATATACTGAATATGAGCCAAATGCAACACGGGCAGAGAAATTTGTGATTTTCTGTATTTGGGTTTAGTTTTCACAAAATATTAATAACATTTAAAGAATTATTTCACCAAAAATGAGTTGGGTTTATGTCCTAAATAGGTAACCAACTTTTTGTAATGTATTAAACGCTCTCTTATATGAGGAGACTTTTTTCAAAAAATATGATGTATACATAAAAGGATGACACATTATATGAGGAGACTTTTTTTTTTATAATATTGAAGATAGATAGAAATAAGTTAGTTAATTTTATAAAAAATACTTTTAAAAATGTTAATCGTTAGTGAATTTTTTTTTACAAAATGTTTTTGTTAAATAAAAGTTAGTAGATAGCTGAGGTGATAAAAGTAACAATTTTTTTTTAGGTTAATCATTGATGAAATGCCCAACAAACACTTAAATGTTTGATGAAATGCCCAACAAACACTTAGTAGATGAAAGTTCATTAAAATTGCAAAACTAGTAGAAATCATATTCAATTTGTATAAAAAGGTGGACAAGAAATAGTTCATACACCTAATTTAGTAATCATTGGAGTCTCTTTGGGTTTTGTTTATTGGTATACAACAAAACTTGTATACTTGTCATAAAGTGATACATAAGACACAAAAGTGGTATATTCTTGAGTGAATCTTTCACTATCTTTGTAAGTTTACTCCTTTTATAGATATAGGAAATATGCTTTATCTTTTTACCCACAATACTTAAATATGTAATACTTAAATATTTTCACATGTAACATCAATGTACTTAAAATTAGAGTAAGTTACAAACATGGTCCCTATGTTTTAACCCCAACGAGTCTTTTATGCAAAATGATAGCAACCTAGTTTTACAAGCAAGCAATGTAAAAAGTGCAAACCTACTTTGATTTAAGGTGACTTCTAAGCTTCAAACAAAGCTTAAACTCTTAGCTTTTAAGTTTTAATATAAATAAAAATGTCACACACCCCATTTTCAAATGTAAAAGGTCACAAACAACGGTTTCAAAAGATTGAATTTTATGTTCAAATTTAAGTAGCCACAATGCAGAGTTTTAATTCCGATGCGACTTGGACTCCTTACATGCATTAAGCTCTAACGACAGTCATCTAGCAAACAACTGTATACCTGATTTACATCTCACATAGCAGACAACTGTATACCTGATTTACATCTCACATGATGATATAGGTTGCAGGACATGTGGGCAAACTAAGAGGTTGCTACAACATGTCAAATGTCTCTACTAAGGTCAAAACAAAAGAATAACACTTTTTGCAAAAGTACAAAAGGACCAACATTCTTAACAAACTAACTTCCATGTATAACCAATTTTCAATAACTATAGATAAGTGTCAAAAGAAAAAAAAAACAAAATTAGAAGCCAATTTTTTCACTTTAGTAGATCGATGCATCGAATCTTGGCTCATAGAAACAAACTTGACCATTATACAAACGAAGACCACAACCCGCAATCCAAGACCACACCTTTTTATCCACATCATACAACAAACCTTTCCCTTGATTCCAAGAAGTAAAAAGAATCAAATTATCTTGTCCAAAACACTCAAATCTCTCAGCCGATAACCTCAACAAACCTCTAAAGTACCTCGGGGGCATTCTTGTAACTTCAACCCACATCACCTTACCATGATCCAACTCCCATATCCTCATACTTTGTATAGTACTATAAACACCAACTCTTCCAACCAAAAACAATCTCTTTTTTACCTCTGCAATCAAATACCCATCTAATAAAGATCTTGGAAACTTAGCAGGAACATGTTCCCAATACCCCGTGTCCACTCTATACACCATTAAACCAATCGGTGAAAGGGTTTCAAGATACAATCTTGAATCACAAAATGCCATTTTTGATGAACAGAAATTGACAGCTGGCATAGTTTGGTTGACTGACCATTGACCGAATCTTGAATCGTATACTTCAGTTGGTAAGGATTTGTCCCCGTAAAGATCGTTTGCAGCTATGATTTTGAAGGTGCGTTGACTTCGGTCAACCACCATTGTTAATTGTCGTTGAATGTTGTAATGCATAAGTGGAAGGATTTGAAATGTTTGTGTGAGGGGGTTGCAGATTAGGGTTTTGAAAGTTGACCCATCGAGACCTGAAAAGCAAACAAGCCCACCTGATGACCCGATTAAACAGATTGCCCATTGAGGAAGAAAGGTGAATGGGATTCTGTACCATTGTTTTAAGGGTAAGCTGAAAACTGAACATTGTGGTGTTTGAGATTGTGAATTGACGGAGTTTTTGTAGAATGTTAGAAGGCAAGGGCCATGGGAAGGGACTTGGGAATGGAATTGAAGAAAGGCGGAATCGAGTAGGATTGAATTCCATCTTTTGCAAACGGAACGGAGTCGGAAGATCATGAATGGTGGAATCCGAGCTAGGATTTCGTTTAATAGATCTTCGGGTAACATGGCCCAGATATCGTCTTCCATTTGAACATCGGGTTGAGGAGATTTAGCGAATTTGGCGATTGTTTCTTCATCTAAACCTCTTGGTTTCGTCTTGATTGCTTTCTGCTTTGATGGACTAACGTTCCTTGACCCGACCCGTCGACCCATCGGGCTCGTGTTCCTCGACCCGCTTCCACCATTCGCACCCATCTTCACCAACTGGGTCATCAAATCTCGAGACTCCCCGATTCCGATTCCGATTCCATTTCCGATCCCAACCACCATTTTTTCAAGAGCCCTAATTTGAAACTGAGTGCTCCTAAATCAAAAGCTCATTGATGACCCAAATATGGTTCGATTGTGGGTTAATAAAGAAAAAACCCCTAAATCTATCGGATTCAAAATTGGGCGACTTTTAAAAAAGCAAAATTAAACGGATCGATGAATATGAACAAGAAGATTCAAAGTATTTCAGTCAGAAATTACCTTTTGATGGCGGAATGGGTTCTTTTTGTTCTTGAAGGATTGATACTCGAATAACAATCATGGAAGATGATGAGTTGTGGATAGAAACAAAAAAAGAGTCAGGGTCAGGGGAGAGAGTAATGAATCGTCGTTGGGTGGTAATGGGTTCTGATTATTTTGGAAATAGTTGTTGAGGGGTTTTAATTCGGTGATAAATTAATGCAATATTTTAAAGAGTTTAAAGTGGGTGATTAATGCTATTATTATGTTTTTTTGTCCCCACAATTTATTTAAATTCAAAAGTTGCCGCTATTTGTTTGTTATGTCGTGTACTTTGGAAATGCCTTATTAATTCACGTGGGAATATGACTTATTAAACTAATTAACTTTTCGTTTTGTTCACATCTAGGTAACTATCTTTTTTTTTGTACACGTCTAGATAACAAACTTGTTGGATGTGTTCACATATGACCATTACGACCTGCTGTAGCAGGTTACATCCTAGATGTGAACACTTTTAACAAGTTCGTTACCTAGATGTGTACAAAAAAATAGTTACCTAAATATGAACAAAACAAAAAGTAAGAGCAAATTACACGAATGGTCCCTGTGGTTTGGGGGAATTTGTGTTTTTGGTCCCTAACTTATTTTTTTAACTCGAATGGTCCCTACTGTTTATTTTTGTTGCGCGTTTGGCCCATGTCTTACCTAAAAAGACTATTGTGCCCTTATTAATTTATTTTTTAATTAATTTTCTTATTTATGTATTTATTTTTTATATATTTAAAAAAATTAATAGACCCCACATATATGTATCTCATCACCGTAAACCTGAAACCACATTTGAGAAATTTAATTTGGGTCTCATCAGTCACCATCCCATCTCTCATCCTCCTCAACTTCTATTTCTTTTCCATCTTTAATGACATCGACGTCTTCACCATCATTCTTTTTTTGGTCCTTCAACTCTGGCAAACCAACACCATAACCCACTGTCTCTTCATCTTTAGTGGGTTGTGGTGTTGATTCGACGAAGTTGAAGGATCGAAAAAAGAAGGGATGGTGAAGACGTCGATATCACTAAAGATGAAAAATAAATAGAAGTTGAGGAGGATGAGAGATGGGATGGTGAGGAGATACAAATATGTGGTGTCTATTAATTTTTTTTAAATATATAAAGAATAAATACATAAATAAGAAAATTAATTAAAAAATAAACTAATAAGGGCACAATAGTCTTTTTAGGTAAGACAGAGACCAAACACGCAACAAAAATAAACAGTAGGGACCATCCGAGTTAAAAAATAAGTTAGGGACCAAAAACACAAATTCCCCCAAACCACAGGGACCATTCGTGTAATTTACTCTTACTTTTCGTTTTGTTCATATTTGGGTAACTATTTTTTTTGTACATATCTAGGTAACGAACTTGTTAAAAGTGTTCACATCTAGGATGTAACCTGCTACAGCAGGTCATAATGGTCATATGTGAACACATCCAACAAGTTTGTTACCTAGATGTGTACAAAAAAAAAGATAGTTACCCAAATGTGAACAAACCAAAAATTTAATTACCTTAATAAGTCATATTCCCTAATTCATTCATATGATTAGACTCTTATCTAGGGAGTAAGAAAAACCCAAAACTAAATAATTTATCCCAACCAAATAATTTGAGTTATTTAGTTTGGATTATTTGGTTTTCGGGTTATTCAATTTGATTAACCGAATAAAAAAATTATTCAATTTAGGTTTAGTTAATTTTTTTTTTCTAATTTAGGTTCATCGAATAATCCAAATAAAATATTAAAATATTAATTTTATATTTTATATTTATATTTTAAAACTCAGAATCATTAGTTAAACAAACCTAAAGTCATCCAACTATGCTTAATTAACTTGTTTTTTGAAAACTCTTATAGAATCACTTTTAGTTATTTGTTAAACATTCTATACAAATAAGACATTTATCGTTTTTAGGCTTGTTATTTGTTTTTTTAAATGTTAAAAAACACTTATAGTTTTATAGACTTGTAAATTGTGATATGTTATCTTCTTTTATTTAAAACTATGGAAATGACTTTTATTTTTCTTTAAGGAGCGACATGGGAGGCCTAGAATCTTTTGATCAATTTCCCTCCCATTTAAAAGCATGAAGCTTGAAGTAGACTTAATACTTTATTAGGTTATTTAAAAGTTTTTATTTGAATGAAATTTGGCTGAGTTTAAACCACATTACCTGATACAGGAATTATACCCAAACTGTAACATCTCGATTTCCAGGTATTTTACATTTTGACCATTGGTATGAGTATTGTTTGCAAATTTGGCCATGCATGACATTTTGTAATTTTTGGGAATTGCTTGCGTATGTTGGGCGTACCCAAGCGTACGCTGGGCGTACGTGGCCTGGACCCAAAACCCTTTATGTTTTGTGCACTATTTATAGATCCTTAACTCTCAAGGCTCATTTCATTCATCAGCCTCCAACCTCATATTCGACCCTTACAAACCCTAATCTATTTTCAAAGCATCTTTGAGCCTCGAGTGTGTATTTTGGTGATCTTGAATGAGGAATAAGGAAGAGGAGACCATCTTAGAGGAGTGAAACACTTTGTATCCAGAAACACATCATCATTTAACACTACTCGGAGGTAAAAAAAACTCTAATCTTGATAAAGGTTTGCTTAGATCTTAATTAACCATGATTGTATTCATTTTGGTGCCATAAGCTTGATGTATTTGAGTATGGGTTACTCTAATTCATTTGAGTTGTTCTTTCATATGTTTTGGAGTGTCTAAAGTCATTAAAACGCAATCTTGGTTATTAGTTTTCTTCCATGCATGGGTTATAGTGTCTTAATAAGTTAAGAAGTTAGGGTTTTTGGTTTTGAGCACCTAATAGCCATGCAAGATCATAAATTTGGAAACCTTATGATTAAGGACATCATTTAAGGACTAGATCTGGATTTTGGACGAAAGAGCTTAAGGGATTAAGCTCTTAATAGAAGGAAATGGTGGTAGACACGTACGTTGGGCGTACACTATGGTAAGCTGGGCGTACGAGGTCAACACCCTGTTTTTTTGTCAAGACCTTGAGTACGCTAAGCGTACAAGTCGAGTATGTTGGGCGTACTCAGCTTAGTCAACTGGGCTGACTTTTGGATTTTTCGACTTTGATCAGATTTTGACCAAGTTTGAACTAGGGGTATTTCGGTTATTTTTATTTATAGTTAAGTTTGGTCATTTTCCAATGAATAGGTGACCGGTAGAGTTGATATTCGGATCAGTGTGCTGTTCAACTATCTTTTCAGACTGAGAGGTGAGTTTTCCACACTGTACTTGTGGGTTGAAGACACCAATGTCAGCCTACTGGGTTATATATTATGGTATGTAGGATGTTGCTATGCAATAGTGATTTGTAGATCTGCCTGTGAGTCTTTGGAATGGTTATGTGATTATCTTCTTATTGGAAATATGTTATCTGTTATGTATATGTCGACATTGTATGGTTGGGTTGAGGCGATGTTGCTTTGTGCGGAAGCCAACAAACCTGGGAGAAAGCCAGACATAAGCTGTGGGCCTGAGGGGCAAGCCAAACTTATGATGTGGGATCGGGAGTAAGCCAGAAATGAGTTGTAGGCCGGAAAGCAAGCCAGACTCATGTTGTGCACTCAGAGGTAATCTGGTCTGTTAGCTGTGGACCCAATATGCATGTTGTTATATGTTTGTGTAGTGGTACCTTGGGGGAACTCACTAAGCTTTGGCTTATAGTTTCATTTTTATGTTTCAGGTACTTCAGATGACCGTGGAAAATCAAAGGCGTGATCGTGCACATCCTTTTGGTTTTGATGATACTGATTTGGGACACTCTGATGTATGATTTCTACTTTTGAGAACAATGTTTTGTAAATGTTTGGTTTTGATTTGGGTTTTATATGAAAACAATGATTTCTCTGGATTTAAAAATGAAAATTTTTACTTTGATTTTTGGGATGTTACAAGTTGGTATCAGAGCCCTGGTTTAAGAGAATTGGACGAGCATTTGAGCTAATCTAGAATCAAACTAAGGATCTGTAAAAGCTTTCAAAATGATTTTCAAAAAAATTGTTTTCAAAAGTAACCAAAGAAGGATGAGATGTGTACGATCAGCCAGAGCAAGAAAAGTACACCCCAAGTTACCTACACTGTTATTTGTTATTGATGATTATGATAGAACTGCATACTAGTGGTAGACTAGGGTTCTTCAAAAATTGCATGATAGAATTGCCTGATATATGATGCCGGATAGCCTAGGAGGACTTCTTATGTGCTAGATGGAACTGACATCATTACTGTAGTTTCTTGGTGTGTGCATCATAGTTGTACATAACTGAGATTCTATAGCCTGAGAATGTTTGGTTTAACCTTATTTCTTGTTCCTTGTTTGGGTATGGGCTTAGGGTAGAATCAAGTATTCGACTGTCTATAGGATCTAGTGTTATGTATGATTAGAATGAACGAGCAGCTGCAGGGTTAGTGGAAGTTTCATGAGTGAGTATGTGTGTGAGCAGTCGGCCAGATGAGGAATGATTAGCCACTCTCAAGAGAGTGAGGATAGAATGTGTGGGTATCCTGATTGTTGTATTTGTTTTCGGGAGGTTGTAATGATACTTGAGACAAATACGAGTATGTGTGGAAGGTAGTATGGGCCCATACTACTAAAAGCACAGGACCCGTACGTGTAGCAAGGAAGTCATAAACCCTGGGGGTTTGGTCTCGTCATGTGATTGTAGCAATGTGTTTTGTTGCCTTTCTTATATGTCTTGGTTTATTTTCAG